GATTGCTTTCTAGAAAAAGAGAGGGAGCTAGTTTGAAAAAAGCCCCGATTCATAAGTTGTTAATAATATTTGCCATTATTTGTTCTAGTATTGTATTTATCAATTCAATTCAGCCATATTGAAGGCTTGAAATAGACAGTTTACACAGTATTTTGCGGTTTTATTTATGTATAGCCAATTTTTTGTCATGTGGATGAATGAAGAAAAAGGGAACCCAAATTGCAGGACTGAAAATCAAAGTAATTTAATAAAATAAATCCAAGGTAATGTAAAAACAGAACTGAAGACAGGACAAACGTTGTGGAGACAATGGACGGACAACAAGTGAGGAAGGGCACAGGGTATATATACACACACAGGGACACACAGGTGAATCACATTAGGGCGGGGCAACAATCAACAGGACAGGCAGGATTCAAACTCAACCAGGTCAAAATGTCCACACCATGACATTTTTAGGCTTTGAAGATAGAGCTGTTTGGATTTTATGTCTAACTTTGATGTTTACATTTTTCAAATAAACTGTTATATACTATTTTAGACCAATGGAGTCTATTTGTATTGTATAGTAAGGTCGACCCACTGTCCTCATGTGAGGACATTGATTTTTGAGAGAAGTACTAATTGGATCAAGCTGAAATTTTTAATTTCAACTAATTAGGACCTTCCGGCCTAAAAGAGCATACATTTTCTCTTTAGGTTATGAGAGACCCACTGTCCTCATACGAGGACATGTTTTTTCTCAAAAACTACTTTCTGTACAAAATCACAATTTAGGTATTATACTTATTGGGTCCTACTTATCCTAAATAGCAAAAAAATATATAAAATGCACACCAGACAAATGCTCGGGTCTCAGGAGGTTAAGCCTGAAATATGGCGAAATGTTGAAAGGTTCAAGGGGGCCGAATACTTTCGCAAGGCACTGTATATATATATATATATATGCTGTATTATGTTGTATATTATACAATATATGTATTATGTTGTGTATTGTGTTATGTTGTATATTATGTTATATATTATGCTGTATGTTATGTTATGTATTATATATAATATATATAATATGTATGGTACATGTGATATATGAGATATATAATATATAATTAGGTTTGCCTGGATCGGTTTGCACACCTGGTGCGCAATCCATGAATCTCTTTATTCAAGGCTAGGTTTAAAACAGTCCTCTTTAGTTTAGCATATGGCTAGGAAGGTAAGACTCAGGGAAGGCTAAACTCCTCAGACTGTCAGTCAAACTGCATAGTGAGTCAGTTTGCTGGGAGAAGTATGGTAACTTGAGCACTATCCTCTCCTCCTTCCTACTTTATCTGTTTAGCATTATTAGGATTTTGACTGTAGTTTGTTCATTGCTATTCTCCCGTTGTCTCATTGTCTGTTTCATGGTACGATGACGGGATCTCTGAGCCTGGCCTCCTCCATCTACACCTGCGGACTGCCCTGCCCGACCCGCCTGGGAGTGCTTCAGTCCTGCACCGGACCTGTCCACGTTCAGCGGCCACTGGTCCACGTCCTGTTGCTAGCTTAGGTCCTGGATCATTAGCCTGTCCGTCCGGAGGAGCGGATCTCTTTCTCAAATGGGTCTCCCTCCCTGTGGGTTTCCCTAGTTCTCCCCAAGGTTTCTCACTTTTTCCCACTGGGTTTTTTAAGAGTTTTTCCTTGCCGATGCAGGAGGGTCTTGTTGGACAGTGAGTGTCCAACAGAAAGGATTGGTGATGATCAGGACACTTTAGCAACAACATGTATGGACATTTTCTTCTGTGTGTGCTTTATATTCTTCATGTGTTTTAACTGTTGATTCTCAGACCTGTGTTGGTGATTTCAATGGTTTTGTTAAGTCCTCTGAGATGACTTCTGTTGTGACGTAGGGCTATACAAGAATAAATTGTATTAGTTAGCTGAATTTAGCTTAGGATTTTTAGTATTACTAGTGTTCTATATCGTGTGCAATTTAATTGTATATTGTTTATTGTACTTGTTGGGGCGACAGTGGCTCAGTTGGTAGAGCATTGGCCTTTGAGCCTGGAGGTCATGGGTTCGAGCCCACCGTAAGACCTACATCATGACTCCCGCTGATGACTGCTGCCGTTGTGTCCTTGGGCAAGACACTTAACCCCACTTTGCCTGAAGCCCCCACTGAAAGATCTCAGCTCCTGTGGACTCACCATCTGCAGGAGGATCAGTGAGGGGCTGGTGCTAAGCGTACTGGGTGCAGCTCTGACTGCTACCCCCCCAACCCAGAAATAGATTAAGGGGAAGAAATGGATGGATGGATTATTGTACTTGTGTACAATAAATAATACTTTATGTTTGAGCGTGTGTTAAATTACTGTCTCTTTGGTAACACTTTATATTAATGGTACATGAGTTCATGCATGATTCTCATGAACTAGTTCATGATACATTCATGCATTACTAGATCATGAATTCTCATGAACTAACATGATTACATGTTGGTTCATGGATAACTTCATCCATGAATTAATGGTTGAACTACTGTAATGACTTTACATGAAAATCTTAAAGAATCATCATGATCCTGATGATACCATGAATTTACTGAACTAGCAATGAAATGACCAAAAAAATAATCAACCTATCATGATCCTCATGATCATGCATGAACATCATGACTCATATGGCGGAAATCTACTTGCAAATTATGACGACACAATCATGAACTCTGTGTGTTAGTACATGTGTCCGCCTGTGTGCGTGTGTCTGCCTCTGTGTGTGTACATGTATGCGTCTGTCTCTGAGTGCGTGATTTGCATCAGTCCTGTACCTAATTATATCAAATCTTCATATGAGATAGAATTAAAAATCTCATTTTAGTAAATACTGTGTTTCATAAAGTCATGTCTGTGTCAGATCTTATCTGTGGTGAAATCAGACACATTGATAATGGTGTTACGTGGAACATGTCTGCTGCGTCATTTGCATATTGTCCCCTTGATCCAGGGGTGTCCCAATTCTTAGGGAGAATGTTGTGAGCGCACTCCCCACTGGGAAGGCACTTTGCTGGTGAGGGTACTCACACCGAAGGACAAAGGTGAGAATTGGGACGGGGCCTAAGCCTCGATCAGGGGGGGGTGAGAAGTCCTTTTATCAGAATCTAAATTAACACCATTTCAATTTGCTAAATGAAAACATTGACTTTGTCTCAAGTTCAGTTTGTAACTACTGTGGCTTGGGGTCATTATCTATTTTGAAGAGTCATTTTCATTTAGATTTGCTTCTGTGAGATTTCATAACACTTTTAAGCAACTTTTGTTAAAGTAAAACTCATCATTCTATCAATGTGCAGAAGCCAGTACTTTTCCCTTGTTTTGTCTATCTGAAGGCCAAGCTACATGGCACCGTGGAAGCTGCTGATTGGAGGTCTCCATGCCTCCGCTCTGTATAATATACTTGCATTCTGTTGTTTGCTTTGTTCGTGCTGTCTCTACCATCGACAATAAAACATGTCTTCTGTGAATTTATGACACGATCCCAGACTTTGTCATCTTCTTCAGGTGGTGGAAGGATGCGGGCCTTGTCTGTAACATCTAGAGAACAGAAGACTACTTTTTTTTACACAAAAAGTTTTTGTTTTTTTTAAGCCAAAACTGAAAAACCTCAAGAGAACCCATGCGTCTGGATCAGCACACTTGGACAATCTGCACAGCCCCTGATTCCAGTCAGGCCTGCTGTGAGCTGCTGAGACATGGACAATACCATCGTCCTCTTTTGCATGGACACCATTTGGAACAATTGGATTACACAATTTGGACATGATTTGGAACAATTGGATTTCTGAATTTGGACTGAATTGAATTGCTGAATCTGGACACTGAAGCTGAAACGTGTGATTGAAATAACACGTCACAGAAGAATTCATGGCTCGACACAAATGCAGCCTGAAGAAATCAACACGGAGAAGTGGGAGAGACTGTTTTCAAAGCAATATCTGGAACCATCGACTGATGAAGTTTGGTATTTTACTGAAGATTGTTGACAAGTTTTATGAAAGATCTGAACATGTTTTATGAGTTTGAGTTTTTTGAAGTATTCCGAGTACCGAGTGAGTTATGATGTTATGTTGCTGTTTATCGATCCTGATGGTCACACGGGAATGTGTGACCAGAGGGGGGAATGTGAGATTTCATAACACTTTTAAGCAACTTTTGTTAAAGTTAAACTCATCATTCTATCAATGTGCAGAAGCCAGTACTTTTCCCTTGTTTTGTCTATCTGAAGGCCAAGCTACATGGCACCGTGGAAGCTGCTGATTGGAGGTCTCCATGCCTCCGCTCTGTATAATATACTTGCATTCTGTTGTTTGCTTTGTTCGTGCTGTCTCTACCATCGACAATAAAACATGTCTTCTGTCTGAATTTATGACACAATCCCAGACTATGTCATCTTCTTCACTTCTTTTCTTTGGATAAGAATGCATGCATAGATTTTGTTCTGGGGAAGAATCACACTTTTCAGACCAAACAATGTTCAACCCTGCACATCTACAGTTGTGCATCCAATTAGTACGTCAAATGTGATAAGCCAACCAATTGGAAGCTTCATGGTGTGGATTTTATTGTTATTTTGTACTTGGTTTTATTTTTACATGAGTTCTCTCTGGTTCCATGTATCTTGATTGTCTTCCCCGTCCTGATGTGTTTTTGTCCATTGTCCTGTTCCTGGCTCTTTTGGATTTTTGAGTTTTGTTTTAACCTTGGGCATTCATTTTATCATCCTTATTCAACTGTTTTGCACTCCTGCATTTGGAGTCCTCCTCCTTTCCACCACGTGACCCTTCCGTGGCCATTACGAGCTTATCAGGGCTTTTCCTAATAACACTGAATCCAGAATAAAAGGCTCACTCAATATTGCAGCATTGGAAAATAGAAATCTTAAGTTCAACATCAGACCATGATTTGTTTATTTTGCAATGGTCTCTTCCAATTCCATAATTGCCAAATGTTACCAAATGTTACATATACCTTTGGCAGAGGCTCCAGTAGAAATCCTATAGCCAGAGTTACCACCATCACAATAATAGCAGAGAGTAAACCAGCAACCTAAAGACACAAAGAAGATGTCCGAACAGTTCTAAACGTAGGGTTTTCTTCTATTCAGAAGAAAAATAAATGAATAGTTAATTTACAAAAAAGACAATGATTTTCTCATATTTAGCAAAATAATACAACAGTTCCCATGTGGACAAAGCTAAAACAATTCCATATCTGAGTAACTGAGAAACCAAACTAAAAAAATAGTTTTGAAACTAGCTTAATTTTGTATTGGATCCTCCTGTGTGGTGAAGCAGGACTGGAGTGATAATGCTTTGTGATCAGAAGGCTTGTCTTGTCTGGTAAAATGAACGCAGATTGCTGAAGATTGTGTGATGTCCTTCACCTGCGTCTTCCCTCCAGTGCTTTCCTGGACAGCACTTCTGGACAGAGCAGTACTTGCTGCAAAAGACTTGAACGAGGCTCCAAAAATGTTGCACACTCCAAACGCAATCAGCTCCTGGAGACAAGACAAATGCCTTATAACAGATGGGTGGGGAGAGTACTTTTTTTTTTAACTTAGTACTTAGTACTATTTTTGTCCAGGGGAATATTCTCATGTTGTTGCATTTAGCATGGAAATGCACTTGTTTTCACCCGAAGGAGTTTTGTTTACAACTGTCAACAGACAACCTTATAGAGAAAAATATATCCATTATATACATTTGTTTATGGATATGCTTGACCCTTAAGAGCTATTTCTGGAAGTGCACTGGGCAGGGGGACGTCTTTGTTCCAGAAGTTCCTAATATTTGTGTGAAGCTAAACACAACTGCAGTCTGTTTATAATGAGGGAAAAGTAACAGAGGTAAAATACTGACCTGGTTCCCATCTATGGTGTAGTCATGTTTAACGGAGTAAACTTTGGCCACGGAGAAGGCCACAGCAAAGCCCACAATTGCCATTGGGAAGGCCTCCACCGCTGTCTCCCCCCAAATCTGCAGGTTTGGAGCCACCGGAGCCTCGTACCTGAAAACACAAGCCACAAAACACGGTCACACCACATGGACTAGACTTATGATCCATGTGCATTAGGGTTAATGTTAAGGTATACTTTATTGATCCTCTGCATTTGACCCATCCTGCAATGCCACTAAGGTCTAAGGCAGTGTTTTTCAACCTTTTTTGAGCCAAGGCACACTATTTTCATTGACAAAATCTCGCGGCACACCACCAGGAGATAATTTAGAAATATATACTCTGTAGCCTATTATCACAATATAAAGTCCTTCTCAAAGGGCTTAAAGGATCTATACCCGTTTATGCGAGGTTTGAATGTTTAGCAACACCCCCCAACTCACTCACAGGTTTCTCATTTCCCCTACGCTCTGCTGCCACAGAATCATCTAGTTTTATTTGCGATCTGATACATATGCAAATATTAGCACAAGCGCAACTTCTTGTAAGCTGTACAACAATCACTGATGAAATGGTACAAAAGCAACGATAATTAGGAGCACGATAACAAGAACCGTGACGTCGCCAGCACGACGCAGCCGGGGGCCCACCCTGGAGCCAGGCCTGGGGTTGGGGCTCGTATGTGAGCATCTGGTGGCTGGGCCTTAGCCCACGCGGCCCGGCCGGGCTCAGCCCGAAAGGATGACGTGAGCAGGCCTGTGGACCCACCACCAACAGAGGGATCCGTGGCGTGTCGGTGCTGAGAGGACTGGGCGGCAGTTGAAGGCAGAGGCCTCGGCAACCCAGTCCTCACGCGCAACATCTGGCTCTTGGGACGTGGAACGTCACCTCACTGGGGGGAAAGGAGCCCGAGCTCGTGGGAGAGGTTGAGAGATACCGACTAGAGATAGTCGGCCTCACCTCCACACACAGCTTGGGCTCTGGAGCCCAACTCCTTGAGAGGGGTTGTGCGCTCCACTTTTCTGGCGAGCGGGGAGAGGTGGCGAGCGGGGGTGGCCATTCTCATTACCCCCCATCTCAGCCGCCACGTGTTAGACTTCTCCCCGGTGAATGAGAGGGTCGCGTCCCTCCGCCTCCGGGTGGGGAACAAGTCTCTCACTGTTGTGATGGCCTACGGACCCAACAGCAGAGCAGAGTACCCTGTCTTCTTTGAGTCCCTGGGAGGGGTACTGGACGCTGCATCGACCAGGGACTCCATTATTCTCCTGGGGGACTTCAACGCCCATGTGGGAAATGCCAGTGACACTTGGAGGGGGGTGATCAGGAAGAACGGCCCCCCTGACCTGAACCTGCACGTGGCACCAGGACACCCTAGGCTGGAGGTCGATGATTGACTTTGTCGTATCATCTGACCTTTGGCCGCGTGTCTCGGACACTCGGGTGAAGAGAGGGGCGGAGCTGTCAATCAAACACCACCTGGTCGTGAGTTGGATCCGCTGCAGGGGAAGAAGCCGGTCAGACCTGGCAGACCCAAGCGTATAGTGAGGGTCGGCTGGGCTGAGCCCGTCAGATGGACTTTCAACTCTCACCTCCGGGAGAGCTTCTCCAAAGTTCCGGGGGAGGAGGGGGACATTGAGTCTGAGTGGACCATGTTCTCCACCTCTATCGCCAATGCAGCAGCTCAAAGCTGTGCTTGCAAGGTCTCTGGTGCTAGTCCCGGTGGCAACCCCCAAACCCAGTGGTGGACGGTAAGGGATGCCATCAGGCTGAAGAAGGAGTCCTATCAAGCCATGATGGTTTGTGGGAGTCTCTTTTTGATGTGGGACTTATACATGTATGCCTAAAAAATAGGGAATAAACAAAATTGAAGGGTGATATCCTTTGGAGGAAACCTTGATGTTGATTCGCTGAAGAAATATGTTCCAACATCCATTCTTCCCACTCCTATTTTAGACATCAATTGCTTATTTATTTTGCATAATCAATGTATAATTACAGTGCATTGCTTTTATTTGGTTTTTTCTCATCTCAAATGTCAACATTAGCTCGGCAATCATGGCAATGTGAATGGAGACAGACAAACAACTGATAAAATAAATCCCTGTGTTTGCTGCTGGATTTGGTGCGTATCTGGCAACGTGAGTCAGGGAGAGTGGGAGAGGACTACAAAATATTGGCTGTGACTGCAGAACCACTTTTGGCCAGATTTTTACATACTGCTCCTTTAATTTGAGTCCTGTAATCTGGCCCCAAGATATGTTGGTCTGTACGAGACCGAGCGAGAGATCAATTCTTCAGTGGTGAGACTCAAGTTCCTCCCTTCTTTGAATGTTCACTCTGCATTTCATGTTTCTCAGCTGAAGCCGGTAACTTTGAATCCCCTCTCCCCTTTTGGCTCTGCCTACCCCCATCCCTTTATGTTTTTTCAGGGCATGTGTATGACAGGGGGCGTGGTTGGCTCTGCAGCAGGTGTGAGGCTCACAAACATGTTCCATATCCTCATCACTTTGGCATTAAGTCCCTGGTTCGAACATCACGTCTTTGTAAGTCATGAGTCCGTGAACATTCTGAGAATGTAAGTAACACAATAACACTAGTGACACACAAGGATCTTTCTTATTTGCATGCACACTTTTTCTAATGAGATAAAAACAGATGTTTAGTGCACTTTTACGAAACTTATTCTAGTGGTACAAATAATGTAAATGTATAAGGAAAATTGAACTTTTGTTCTACTGAGCTGAGATAAATATAAACCGACTTATATGGCCAGTGACACATTTCACACACTCTGTTATCTGTGTCCTAGATTATCTAAAGGCCCTGTTTATACTGAGACGCTGCACAGACGTTTCCAGGCTATTAACAGAAACGACCTGGCTCCTAATGCAAATTTCTCTGCGTTCACATGAGGTTGAAAAACGATGTAGTTCTAGCGCCCGGCCAGTAGTGGGCAGAGAAACTTTACAACACAACACACGACCCCCAGCCCCGTGCCCAGCCCCCCCCTCGGCAGTATACTCACTTCCTGTGCCAGACCCTCAGAGAGTACCAACATCATTCTGCATTTTAACAGCAGCTGTGAAAATGGGAACTGAACCTAGAGCTTCGCGTGGTCTCGTTTGGACGAACAAAGGAGTAGAGTTATCCTCTGTCCCGCGCTGGAAGTCCACGTAGCTAGTTTGTGTGGGCGGCGCCATTATTGTTGATGTTTGTTCTCCGCTACTGCGCATGTCCAAATTTACGTGCGGGGAGCAGCGCGGAGGCGGGGGTCAGAGCAGAGGGGGATTTCACACCTTTTCCCCTCTCGCTGGTGTGAAAAAGCTCCCTGCTGTGCAGCGTATCTGAGTTGTCCCACTCTGCAGGCTGGATCTGAACACTTACGTTTTCACCCCCCTGGAACACAGTCTTCGTATGAACGGTTGGTAGCAACCGACATCCAACTATACCGTTTTACTGCCACATTGTCTCCGTGTAAACTCAGCCAAAGTGTTGGAACAAAGATACTGGTTAAGAAAACTTATCTTCAACCTGTAAATAGGACGTGCTCTTTCATAAACCTGACTCACCCTTTGGGAATTATACCAACAACATCAATGCTGTATTTGCTCTTGAAGTCGAAGGCGTAGGAAACTCCACAAGCGATCACCGTCTGAGAAAACAAGTACAACACATTAGAGAACAGTAAGGGCAGCACCACCTGGAGAGGACTTGGAGCAGGCCAGGGGATTTGGAGAAGCTGATCTTCATCCCAGCCAGCAAAGATTAGATTCTGTGGCCCCCAATCCGGACCCCTCTGGCCGCTGGATGTGATCCATAAACTGAACCCCTTTTTGCCCCAAGTTGTGGTCTCTAAACCGAAATCCCTCCAGCCCCTGGCAGTATCTACATGTTCTGTCCATAACAACAGTGAACAGAATCGTCACCAGAGGGGCCAAAAGTAATAGGCAAGGCAAGTTTATTTGTATAGCACAATTCATACTCAAGGCAACTCAAAGTGCTGAAAAAAATAAGATAGCATTAAAATCATAAATAAGCACAGTACATTAAAAAAGAAAGATAAAAATATAAAATCCCTCAGTTGTATGCACAGCTAAACAGAACTGTTTTTAACCTGGTTTTAAACATTGTCAGAGAAGAGGCCTGTCTCACATTTTCAGGAAGATTGTTCCAGTTTTAGCCGCATTAATCTGAAATGCAGCCTCCCCATGTTTAATCCTGACTCTGGGCACCGGCAGGAGTCCCGTCCCTGTGCTCCTAGGTAAAAGTATAGAAACTAATATAAGATCATCAAGTTGAATGAATTTTTGTTCTCAACTGGGGTAGATAAAGTTCTATATAGACTAATTCACCTATCGGGAAGGCCGGTTTCAAACCTAGTTGTAAAGCCACCCTGTGTAATTTTTACAGCTGCTCCATATGAAAAAAACATGTTAAATGTGACCTTTTTAAGAATATTTACCTCCACCATGTTTTTTTAATTCTAAGCCTAATGCATAGGCTTAGAATTGAACTTATAAGTGTCCATGAGAGAAGGGGTGCTCTCCGTGTAAATGCGTCCTCTTGAAAAACATTGGTGGATAAGGGACAAAAAGGATGCGAGAATCGCGTTTTCATTTCACATGAGCTACTGATATTGTTGCTTTCACCGTGCCTTCACAAGTTGGAAGAAGGAACCATGGAGGACCACAGTTATATAAAAGAACCATGGAGGACCACAGTTATGTAAAAGAACAACAATCTTTTAGAAAAATAATTATGCAGAAGGCCAGCGTCATAGCAGCAAAGTGTCAACATCGCAAACCACACGCACCGAAAGACAGCGTTAACACAACAGGAGGAATATTGTGTAGTTTGTACACAACAGACTCACGTGAACCATACGTAACTTTTTCACACTGACAATAATGAGAACGAGACAGAATCTGCAACACAGTCTCAGGATGTTCTGACCTGATCATTCTAAGTAAAGTAAAAAATACCTAGTTACTTGCCACAAAGGGTAGCCCTGTGAGAGGCTGACATGCACTGGGAGCCGCTCTTATTTGTTGTTGTATAAATATTTAGTCAGGAGCGCATTTGTCGGACTTCCATGTCAGTCATGGTGGCAATAAAACAAATATGATTCATAAACATTGATATGCTTTTTTATTACTCGGAACAAGTCGCTGCATTACGCAATATATTGTATTACCATTGTTCTTTATCGGTAGGTCAAAACAAACTTCCCACTTTCAGAATAAGTAGTGTGCACAAAGGACCCCAGAGAATCGCACATTTTATTTCCAAAATACTTTTGACAATAAAAAATATTTATTGGTTTTATAATGAGTGAGTGAATGGATGGTGTTGGTTAGGGCTTTGATGCGCCAGTGTGTTCGGTGTCTCGCTTCTGTCATCATCGTTTGTGGAGAGATTGGAACAATATTTGAACTCTGAACATTATAAAGCACTTTGGGTGTCCTTGGTCTGAAAAAATGCGCTATATAAATAAAGTACTTAATTACGTTATATAGCGCTTTTCAGAACACTCAAAAATGCTTCACACGTCATTATTCATTCACTAAATACACAGTGGTGATAAACTACTACTGTACCCATTCCATTTTCTTCCGCTTCATCCGTTGCCGGGTCGCGGGGGCAGCAGGTGAGAGACTCAGTCCCTTCAGCGCACATGTGTCAAAATCAAGGCCCGCGGGCCAAATCCGGCCCGCGAATGAATTTTACATGGCCGTTGCCTGCCTTTGACGCACTATGATGTCTATTATATCTAATATGTATGGGGATAAGCTTGAGAGCATATTGAATCGAGCCAGCAGGTGGCAGCAGCACTCTCTGAATGGTTTGAAAACAGCTAGATGCACTTGTTGTGCCTCTTTTTTCTCAGCTTTTTGGTGATTTCAGTAAAACTTCCCTCTACTCAACTGGGGATTACAAGCTAGAAACAAAATTCTTTTTGCTGATGAAAGTAGACAGTCTATTCTTTCAGAATCTGGTTTCGGATTTCAGATAGTCATAGTACACAATATTCTGTGGGTCTTGAAAAATCTATAAAAATCATCAGAAACTGCTGGCAATATGGGAGTACCTGTTCTGAAATAGGCTGGCAGGCAATGAGTTAATAAACATTGAACCAGTCCGGCCCTCGGCTTGCAGCAAATTTGTTTTTTTGGCCCTCTGATGTATTTGACTTTGACATGCCTGCTCCAGCGTGTCTTGGGTCTTCCCCGGGGCCTCCTCCCGGTGGAAAGTGCCCGGAACACCTCCCCAGGGAGGCGTCCAGGAGGCAACCGGAACAGATGCCCGAGCCACCTCAACTGGTTCCTCTCGACGTGGAGAAGCAGCGGCTCTACTCCGAGCCTCTCCCGTGTGACTGAGATCCTCACCCTATCTCTTAGAGAGCGTCCAGCCACTACCATTACCCACTTGTGAACAATACCCCGAGATACTTGAACTCCTCCACTTGAGAAAGGACCTCTCCACCCACCTGGAGAGGGCAAGGCACCTTTTTCCGTTCGAGCACCATGGCCTCAGATTTGGAGGTGCTGATTCTCATCCCAACTGCTTCAAACTCGGCTGCAAACCGTCCCAGCGCATGTTGCAGGTCCTGGTTCGTTGGAGCCAACAGAACCGGTGACAAAGGGCAGCCTTGGCGGAGGCCAACATGCACCTTGGAACAGGTTTGACTTACTGCCGGCAATGCGAACACAGCTCAGGCTCCGGTCATAGGGGGACCGGACAGCCCTAAGCAGAGGACCCTGGACCCCGTACTCACGGAGAACCCCCCAAAGGACACCACGGGGAACACGGTTGAACGCCTTCTCCAAATCCACAAAGCACATGTGGACAGGTTGGGCGAACTCCCATGAACCCTCGAGTATCCGAGAGTGTTTTGCGGCCGGGACGAAAACCACACTGCTCCTCCTGAATCCAAGATTCGACAATCGGTCGTAGCCTCCTCTCCAGTACCTTGGAGTAGACCTTACCGGGGAGGATGAGGAGTGTGATCCCACGATCATTGGAACACACCCTCCGGTTCCCCTTCTTGTAGGGAGGGACCACCACCCCAGTCTACCACTCCATTGGCACCGCCCCCGATCGCCACGCAATGTTGCAGGATGTGTCAGCCAAGACAGTCCTACAACATCCAGAGACTTTAGATAATCAGGACGGATCTCATCCACTCCCGGTGCCTTGCCACCAAGGAGGCTGCCAATCTACTTGGTAACCTCTGCCACGGAGATGGAAGTATCCGCCCCAACATCCTCAGCCTCTGCCTCCGGGACGGAGGGGGGATTGAGGAGAACCTTGAAGTATTCCTTCCACCGCCCGACAATATCCCCAGTCGAGGTCAGCAGCTCTCCACCCGCACCGTTGGAAAAGAATGCTTCCCCCTCCTGAGGCGCCGGACGGTTTGCCAGAATCTCTTCAAGGCTGACCGATAGTCATGCTCCATTGCCTCTCCGAACTCCTCCCAGTCCCAAGTTTTTGCCTCTGAAACAGCCCGGGCCGCGGCACGCTTGGCCAGCCGGTACTGGACAGCTGCCTCAGGAGTCCCCCATCATGGCTCGATAGGACTCCTTCTTCAGCCTGACGGCATCCCTTACTGCCGGTGTCCACCACCGGGTTCGGGGGTTGCTGCCGGGACCAGCACCAGAGACCTTGCGACCACATCTACGAGCTGCCACATCGGCAATAGAGGAAGAGAACATGTTCCACTCAGACTCAATATCCCCTTCCTCCGCCGGGACCTGGGAAAAGGTCTCCCGGAGTTGTGAGTTGAAAGTCCGTCTGATAGGGGACTCAGTGAGACGTTCCCAGCAGACCCTCACTACATGCTTGGGTTTGCCAGGTCTGACCAGCTTCTTCCCCTGCCAGCGGATCCAACTCACGACCAGGTGGTGTTCGGTTGACAGCTCCGCCCCTCTCTTCACCCGAGTGTTCGAGACACGTGGTCAAAGGTCAGATGATACGACATCAAAGTCGATCATTGACCTCCAGCCTAGGGTATCCTGGTGCCACGTGCACTGGTGGACACCCTTGTGCTCGAACATGGTGTTTGTGATGGACAAACTGTGACTAGCGCAGAAGTCCAACAACTGAACACCACTCGGGTTCAGAACAGGGGGGCCGTTCTTCCCAATCACCCCTCTCCAAGTGTCACTGGCATTTCCCACATGGGCGTTGAAGTCCCCAAGGAGAATAACGGAGTCCCCGGTCGGTGCACCGTCCAGTACCCCTCCCAAGGACTCCAAGGAGGCCGAGTACTATGCACCGTTGTTGTTGTGGCCATCACAACAGTGAGAGACTTGTCCCCCACCCGAAGGCGTGGGTGAATGAAAGTTCTCCCTTTCATTCACCAAGGAGAACTCCAACACGTGGTGGCTGAGATGGGGGGCAAAGAGGATGGCCACCCCAGCTCGCCGCCTCTCCCCGCGAGAAACACCAGAAAAGAGGAGCGTCCAACCCCTCTCAAGGAGTTGAGTTCCAGAGCCCAAGCTGTGTGTGGAGCTGAGGCCGACTATCTCTAGTCAATATCTCTCAACCTCCCCCACGAGCTCGGGATCCTTCCCCCCCATTGAAGTGATGTTCCACGTCACAAGAGCAAGATGTTGGGTGTGCGGACTGGGTCGCTGAGGTCTCTGCCTTCGA